CCTTTAATATCATAATCTCAATGTACTAATAGGCAGAAAATCAACTTCTCCATGACTCCAGGAGCATAAAAACACCAAAAGAGCTACTTTACCATTTTTCCAAACAGGACAGAAAAGTTGCTGCAAAGACTGGCATACCACCTCTGTCTTCACCATCTCCTGAGACAATTACAAGTGTTCAGGGATGAGAGAGAAGGAAATACTACATTATAAATCTAAATAAAGTGTTTAAGAAATGGAAATACTGTGTGGGCTGTTTACTTTCATATAGGAGTTAAAGGATATTCCTGTTTAGAAAGGAAAAAAAAAAAGGAAGTAAAAACATGAACAGACCTAGAAACACAAATAGCCTTTTAGATATAAATTGATTGCCACTGTTATTAAGTGAAGAAAACACTCCTGTCATGAAAATGTTTTTTGTTGCTTCAGGAGAATTTAAATGGAGCTGTTGACCTCGCATATATGGCTGGTTTAGAACCTGAATCATAGCTGACAGGGTATGCCTCAGGTTGGGAAGTGGGGAAACAGAGTATCTCAGCTATGTTTAAGCCTGGATTTTATATTCCATCAACCATTGACAACGTCATAACTCATTGCTTGTACCACTGATGCAGGGGTAAATACTCAGAAACCACTCCAAAGTAAAAAGCTACAGAGAAGCTACAGACCTTGTAGGAATGTTAGCAAATCTCAGGAGTCACTTTCCACAAACTTGGTTTTCTCTTTTGACTTCTAAAACAAGCTGCCAAACAGCTCCTAACTGCTGTGCAGAGCTGTAATTCTGGCAGTGGTACTGCCACTACCAGTAACAGGGTATAACCTTTGTACAGAGTTTTTGAAGCATCAGAACTGAGATTTATCTAGTCGTATTTGTGTGAACTTTGGTGTACATGATTTAGCTGTGACTGGAATTTCCTTAGCTGGCCAGTTGTCTGTATGGAAGGTGTTTTAGTTTTGTTTATCTGTGCAGAGTACAAGTATAGCTCTAAATGCACAGAAGAACAAAGACTTATCCTATGTAGAATTAGGTGTTTATGACTAATATAACAGGATCAAAGAAATACTTTGATTTGGCATGACCTTAAATTTCCAACCTTCCTGCCATGGACAGGGACAGGGACACATTCCAATGGATCAAGTTGCTCAAGGCCCATCCAGCTGGCCTTAAACACCTCTAGGGATGGGACATCCACAACTTCTCTGGGCAACCTGTTTCAGTGTCTCAACCTCTTCCAGCATCTCATCACCCTCACAATGAAATATCTCTTTTCTTTGTATACATTCTAAACATATCCCTGTAAAAAAGTCTGTCTCATCTTTCTAATAAGCATCCTTCATATAGTGAAATACCATGATAAGGTATCCCCAGAGCCTTGTCTGCTTCAACTATCTCAGTCTTTCCTCACATGAGAGATGTCACAGCCCTTTGACTATTTTTGGTACCCTCCTCTGGAACTGCTCTAATGGGTCCAAGTCTTTCTTGGGCTGGACACAGCAGTCCAGGTGGGGTCTCATGAGAACAGAGTAGAGAATCCCCCTGCTCAACCCAGTGGTCATGCAGCCACCAGGTATGATGCAGCCTGGGTATAACAATAAGGGAAGAACTACAAGCTTGAGGCGACTGCACAGGCTTTCAGAAATGGAGGCACCAAATCTAGTACAGGGGAGTATGAGCATGGGGCAATAAGAGGTGGGGCACAGACCTGGCACTGGAGGGTTATGAACAACTCAGCAGTCAGTTAAAGAAATGCAAACCTGAAGAGAGAAAAAATTAGCTTTGGGGTAACAGAGAAAACAAAGACATAGTGTCTGATGTGTCAAATAGTCACGCATAGTAAGTTCAGATGTAATGCAGAGCTCCAGATCAATAAAGAAAAGCATGCTAGCAAACAATAAAATTACCCTGACTAATTTTTGATGTAATGATTTAGTGTGACTTTGGAGTCATGAAAATGCTTAGATGTGTCTTACATCCATTGATAAAACCTATAGTTGTTGAGACTGATTTTTAGCACAAGCACTGCATCCATGGAGAGATCATGGACGAGACTGTAGGACCTAACCTGTCACATTGCACAGATGAGGTCAGAATCCCACTTTGGAGCTAGGTCTCCTTTCACACAGTCTGCAGAAGAAAACAGGAAAATCCTGACATCTGCTCAGCCTTAGTCACTTCTTCCTCCCTCTAGCTGTGGATAATATTTTCTCTAAATCATTTCTATTTTATGCCTATCACCACCATGTAGCATTGCAGATATAAGCATTCATCTTTCCTTACTTTGCTAGCCAACATTGCACTGATTAGCAGAGAAATAGAGATGCTTACAGAAGAACAGAATTCAGTTGTTTAATTTTTAATTTATTTCTAGAGTATAGAGCTGAACATTGTTTTAGCACAGCAAAAAAACCTACACACTTCTAACACTATTCCAGAACTGATTAAACCACTGGGCATCAGTGACAGCAGGATGTGGTGCCAGGAGAAAGTTTTCACTAGACCATTTCAGTAATACCTTGTTAGTCATCTCCTTTCCATCTCTCACTTAAGAGAGTCTTCTCAGGTCATTTAATACTCTAATCTGCTAACTACTGTCATTACTGTTTTTCTGACTTTCATCCTTCCTTTTTTCCCAATGTTAATCTAATTCTAGCAATACAGATATAGGAGTCCAAAGGAAAGGTTTCATTTAATATTTCAGTAAAAAATTAAACTTGTTAAATAGCTTGTATTTAAGTTAGGAGTGGAAGAAATACAGTGGTATTTATTAAACGACTGGCAGCAAACAAAGTGTGCTAAGGAATTTTCTCATCCTGCTATGGGAATAAAGAACCTCTTTTGGCACCCAGGAATATGCAAGCTTCAGTCTCTGAGTGCTAGTCCCTCCCTTTCCCAAATGAACATGGAATGTAAAGGAGTGTCTATCACAAATATCCTGAGCATAAAAATGGTAATTTTGCATGATTCACATTATTAACATAATTATAAAAGAGGTCTTTCTTCTGGATTAGAGTGTAGGACATGATAAATATAATCAAATAGCAGCTGGGCTGGAAAATCCAAACCCTAGTCAAGGTCAAGCAGAACAGGTGATGTAGAATTTCCAGCCTCCCCAACTTTTCAAGACCTCATATGAATCACAGTGCAATGGAAAACACAGTTTAGGGAACTAGAAAATGTAAACCACAACAGAAGGCTTAATCAAAACAGAGGAAAATATAGGGGAAATAACTGCCTCTTTCACAAAGAGTAAATAAATGGAACTATCTCCAGTTGCTTCCTTTTGTTACTAAAGAAACATTATTTGCATGTAGAAATTCCATGTACTTGTACTCCTGAAAGTTCTCAATTCTCCACCCATTTCCTTGGAATGCATCTTCAAAATAAGGCATTGGTCAATAATGTCTGTTACTTCTTATAAGATGTTTTGCTAGGAAGGAATGGAAATAACCAAGGTAAAAAAACAAGCTGCTGGTTTGGTTAAAAGTAAAGAGGGCATTAGATTACTATCTTTGAAAATTTGCAACAAGAAAAGCACAGCATCAATTAGGAAAAGGCAAACTAGAATTTTGTACAACCTCACTTCAAAAAATCAATTTTGGTGAAGACAGGGACTTAAATCATAGCAGAACTTTGATTCTACCTTTCCATAAAGTGCATTCCCTGTAGTCCCTAAGTGACTATTTTCTTCTTAAATTTTATATCAATTAGCTCATATTCTGCTTACAGCATCAAAGTACTTTCGTGATTTGGTAAATCACAGCTGTCAGTGGTCACTGCTCCTTGAATGAACCACATAGATGTAAAAAAGGCAATTTTACAGTGGTTTAGAAATTAGGAAAAAAATTACCTCACAAGAGCTACTGAAAAAGAAGACAATATACACATGAATCATGTTTTCTTAGGGTATATCCCATTTGTCTTTTCTGTGGTTCCATCAATAGCCCAGGTCCATTCTCCATCTCTCTCAGAGCTCCCTACAGTTGCCAACTACAAATGATATTTTGAGGTTCACTAATTTTAGGGCTTCTCTTTGTCCTTAAATACAAAAAAAAAATCAATTATAGAAGAACAAAACAAAATCACAAAATCATAATATCATGGAATTGTTTAGGTTGGAAAAGACCTTTAAGTTCATTGAGTACAACCATGTTCCTAAGTGCCATCTACTCCTCTTTAAAATACCTCCGGAGATGGTGACTGCACCATTTTCCTGGGCAGCCTGTTACAGTGCTTGACAACCCTTCGGGTGAAGAACTTTTCCTTAATATCCAATCTATTCCTCCCCTTGTGCAACTTGAAATGGTTTCTTCTTATTCTCCTGCTTGTAACTTGTTTCAGGTAGATATAGGGAGCAATAAAGTTTTCCATGAGCCCCTTTTTCTCCAGACTAAACAACCCCACCTCCATCATATGCTCCTCAAACAACTTGTGCTCCAGAGCCTTCATCAGTTCCATTGCCCTTCTCCAGACATTCTGCAGCCCCTCAGTGTCTTTCTCACAAGTGATGAGCCCAGAACTGGACACAGCACTCCAGGTGTGGCCTCAGCAGTGCTGAGTACAGGGGACAATCCCTGCCCTGCTCCTGCTGGCCACACTACTGCTGACACAGGCCAGGATGTTGTGGCTGCCTTGGCCATCTGGGCACACACTGACTCATGTTCAGCTGCTTTCAACCAGCACCCCCAGGACCTTTTCCACAGGGCAGCTTTACAGCCACTCTGTCCTCAGCCTGCAGCACTGCAGGGGTTCACTGTGATCCAAGGGCAGAACCTGGCACTTGGTATTGTTGAAACTCAAACAACTGGCCTTGGCTAACTGATCCAGCCTGTCCAGATCCCTTTGCAGAGTCTTCCTATCCTGCAGGTGATCAACACTCCCACCCAACTCGATGTCATCTGCAAACTGACTGAGGCTGCACCCAGTCCTCTCATCCAGATGATTGATAAAGATGTGAAACATCTTTATCTTTGGCCCTGGCCCAAATCCTGAGTGCAGAACACTACTTGTGACTGGCTCCCAGCTGGATGTAACTCCATTCACCATCCAGCCAGCTTTCACCCAGTGATCCTTCACTTGTCCAAGCCATGAGCAGCCAGTTTCTTCAGGAGAATGCTGTGGGAAACAGTGCCAAAGGCTTTACTAAGGTTCAAGCAGACATCCACAGCCTTTCTCTCATCCACTAAGTGGGTAACCTCATCATAGAAGGTATTCAGGTTGATCAAGCAAGGTGTTTTGTGAACCCCTGCTAGCTGGGCCTGATGCCTTGGTTGTCCCAGATGTGCTGCATGATGCCCCTCAAGATGATCTGCTCCATGAAGAGTTCAGACTGACAGGCCTGTAGGTCCCTGGATCCCTATTCTAGCCTGTACCACAGAAGGTTAGTAAGGCTATTATTGCTGTATGTCAGCAGAATTAATGCTTCTGCAATATATGTTTTCTCTGAATAGGTGAGGAAGGGAAGTTTGGCAGGTAGATACAAATGGCAGATTAAATGTCTAGCTGCCCAGCATCCTTTTTGTGAATGATGGATGCTTGTGTAGTCTTTGTCTCATCAAAAGACTTTGCAAGCCAAAGGCAATCAATACTTCCTTCAGCATTTGTAAATTTTTTATAATAGGCTTCTAACATCCAGACACACTGCTTCCACTTTTTTTCTCTGGGCCCTGTTAGAGATCACATTAACATTTTAGCTAACCTGCTAATCTCTTAGCACAAACACAACGGGCCACATTAAGCAAACAACAGATGGAAATGTGGGAGATAATGCCTAAATATGTGAATTAGCCTGAAATCAGCAATGAATTGCATTGATTTTTAGTAAAATTACTTCCAGAGTCATTCAAGTTTCCTCACAGTGACACATTAAGTTCTCAAGAATGAATTTAAATCCAACTCAGTGTTTTCCACAGTGAGAATTGTGGGGGTTTGATATACAACACTGTACATTTTACTTTTAGTAAAGTTCATCCTACTGTAGACTAACTGATGAAATAATTCCCTTTATTTCAGTCTTTGTCTACTGGCTTAGGACAATATTCATATTAGGTTCTCCTCCTTCAAAAAATCCACCTTTCTTTTAATTTTGTGCCATAACAATGAAGCTCAGAAGCCATCAAGCAAAACTTACTTTTGTAATTATTTGAATAATTGGGTGTTCTGGGAGAAACTGCTACTAGCAAAGAGGAACAGATGTCTTTCCCTGTCATGGACAGTTTGGTTTGTTTGTTTTTTTTTGTATCTGCCTACCTGAGCATTGTGAATTGTATGGTAACTGTAAATACCTATTATATCTGGGGAGAATTTGAATCAGTGGTTTGCACTGTCCCTGGCACAGCAACAAGGGAGACCAACTGTGTTATGACTATAAGATGTCTTGCTGCAACCCAGTGTTGAAATGTTCTCTTCTTATCTACCCTGTCCTAAGACCACAGCCAGTCACCCACTGGTTACCAACACATCCTGTGAGAATGTTTGTGCAAAGCAAAATAAAGAAGAGGACGGCAGAGATTCAGCTTGCAGGCAAGGAAACAATCAGGTGGAGACAAGAGAAAAAGTCATCTTCTGTTTGCATATTCTTGAAAACTCCTCAGTAGGCAATTATCTGACAAATGGAGCCATCAACTGCCCTGGCTCAACTGGGTAAAGTAGTATCCGAAATGCAGGTATTACACTAGGATTATTCTTCACGCAGACAAGGTGCACAAAATCAGCCATGGTTCTGTAGACTCCTACAGCAAACACATCAGAGTTGGTTGTTAATTGTCAGTTCAGTTTGCCACTGTCCATTTGCCACAGATCCATCGTTAAAGCACACACCAGTGCAAAAATTACATTAGTAATTCATCAGGCTAGGCTTCATTTCAAAATCTTTCTCTAAAGAAAGAGAAGGTGTCAAAAGGCTAACAGAAGCTTATAACTTGTAAACACTAAATTAACATTCAGCTAAATTCCAGGTGCTGGCCTATGTGCAGAGGAATCCTCTGGAAACTGTCCCATGTATAGAAGAATAGCAGACTTGTAAAAACTCCTAAGATTCTGAGATTCTTCTAGATGTATTCAAGGAAAAAAATATATATAAAACTGATGATTAAGCATCAATAGCAAAAGCCTCCACGTAAAAATAAAGTTATCTTCAAATTGAAAAATGTATCCGAGGGAACATTGCACAAGCACTGCCTAGGCTTTGCTGGGATGGCAACAGTCACTGGCATATCCCCCAGTTATTTTGGACATGTCAGGACATTAAAACTGGGATCTAAGTACTACTGAAATTAGTACCATGGGCACTGAAACAGATCTGCAGAATTTTCTGTCATGCCATGATGAGCCATGAAAATCACAAGCTTAATCATATGTCCACACAAATACAGTTAGTTCAAGATTTAGTGCCAGAAATCTCAGATTCAATTCCCTCTTGCTGTGACTGTGTCCCTTCCTATGACAGCTCATTACACAGATTCTTGCGACATTTTTATTGATTCAGAGACAAAGGACTAGTGACAGACTTCTACAATTTCTTCTGTCCCTGACATGCAATTATTCCTGAAACAAACTAATAGCTTTCATTTATCTAGAATAAAACTTTGAAGAAAAAGAACTCAATCACTTAAAATGTGCCTGTTACTCCGTTTTCTTTTTTTCTGTTATAATTAAGAGATAATGTCAGTGGAAGAGACTTGTGGGACAAACTACAAGATATATAGGATAGTATTGATCACAAATTTCAAAACAAAGTAGTTATTTTCAACATGAGTGGACAATTTTTGACAATAGTTGGCTATTAAATCTTTAACTGTCTTCCTGCCTTTATTTCTTGTTCTTCTTATTCTTCTACAACAGACTCAAAGCTAAAATAGCTTAATAATGTGATACAATTAACTTAAGAACTAGAAAATAAATCTCAAAACAAATCAGACTCCTTTCTTCCCCTAGTAAAGGCTCCCCTCTCTTTTATAAGTTCAGGGGTTTTTCACATTGAAACTTAAGTGAGATTACTCATAACACATATTTTTTAGTAGAGTTTTACTGGAGTAGTAAACTAATTTAGAATGCTTAATGAAACTAATTACACAAAACTAGATGCTTAAGTGAACATTATTTCATAAACACTCATTTTAGTTTCCCACAGAATGTATGTATCTAATATAACTTTCAGACAGAAAAGGCTACCTTTAATCTAGTACATAGAAAATAATACAAGTACACAGCAGCATTCTTCTCAGAACAAGTGATCAAAGGGAATAAATAATATGGGTAGAATAGGCTATTCAATTATCCAGATTTTAGATGAAGTGGCTCTATTTGCAAAAAATAAAAACAGGGTAAAAAGATTTTTTTTTTCCATCTTCATATTATTTTTCTCTAACACTCTGCATTTTTCAACCTGTTGTATGTTTTGATACTTGAATCTGCTTCTGATAGAATCCTGTGAAGGAACTTTCCATGTTATAATAGCACTTTATGCACTCAACTAAACAAACCAGCATAGTAGAAGAATACCAAGACATAAGCTAAATAATAGCAGAACACAGGAGAGGAAAGCTTTGTAACTTCTCCAGATGTAAGTGCAGTGTTTGTTATCCAGGCTGATAGAAAAAAACTCTAAAAAAATCTTCTCATATGTGACATTCATAGACATTGACCCTAAATATAAGGGCCAAAAAAGTGATGGTGTCTATTTCTAAACATACTTGCTGAATGTAGAATACTTTGTACTGCAACGTATTTTTTACTATAACTGTAAAAGGCACAAAAAAATAAAATTTGTTCAAAGAAGCAGAGAAGGTATCTGCAATGTGCAGTGATAGAACAAAATAAAATTGCCTCTATGGTAAAAGAATCATCAGACTGGACAAATTCAAAGTAATGTAGTAGCGTACAGGCATACCATGTAGTGAGTTAATTTTCTGTTGCTTCCCTCATAATATGTACAGACATACAGAAAACTGGATGGTACACTGATACCTGGAGAAAAATCAATGTACATCTCCCATACACACAAAATGTAAAAATGGGAATTTTTCTTGGTTGATATATTTCTGCCAAATCTTGCTAAAACTCATTCTTGAAGGATTAAAAAAAAAAAAAGGAAGAAAAAAAGAAAGACATTAAAAGACATTTAAAAGGCTCCAACTTAAAGGAAAAAGAAAAGCACAGCACAAAAACAAACTTTGATAGAAAATATAAACCAAAACACTCCTACACACTTCTACATTATCATGGAAAAGGTGACTTTTCAAATACATTTTTTACATGTCTATGAGTTTGATTTATATGAAGAGCTAAGCCGTATTAGGAAAATACTGTGCAAAAGATACATGTATTTTTGAAATGTGCATCTTAAAAACATTAAAGTAATTTAATGTAGAGACAGTTTTAAAATACCTTTTTCTGTACCAAAGGATGTTTCTCTAGTTCAGCTGCTTGACCTATATACCAGTTTCAAAATAGGAGAAATGCAATCTGGAAAAAAAAAAAACCAAAAAACCAAACCCAAACAAACCATTAAGAAGCATCTTTCTATGTTTAGATTAGAAGAAACTTGATGAAACTGATTACAATCTTGAATTTAATTTGGGTTTTGCTGAATAATGAATTCTACTTTTGCTTCTCTAGTTGTCATTCTCTACACTAGAGCTTGTTACAGACTATATTTGCCTTCCCAAAAGCATAGCAGGTTTTGAATAAGTAATCACACATACCTGATGTTAATTCTTTTTGGAGTTTCAGTAGGGCTGGAGATGTAGAAAATGTTTTGGGCTTGTGGAGGTTTTATCCTTCACTAGTAACATAATCAGAAATTTTCCAAACTAAGATGAGACGACTTATTCCAAGACAAGCTTGTATTTCTTACCTTATGAAAACTTAGTTGAATTTAGCAGATTCTTCTTCCATAAACAGTAATATAACCCCAGCCTAGTATCAAACCTGACTTACTTGATAGCAACAAGGCATATAGTTTAGTCTACATTTTAGTTGTGGAAATATCTTTTTGTATTAAAATATCAACAAGTATAATAATGTTCCTTACCACGTAGGCACTTAAATATTTTTCCTTAAACAAGGCAAGTTTCTGATTTTTTGTAGCCTCAAAGGATACAGGTATGAGCTATTCCTAACAGCTGAATGCAGTCACAGTCCTTGAAAGGTCCATGACATTTTAATTGTGGTAACTGTGCACTGGAATACAGTGACCATGAAATGCCACAGGGAGTATATACCTTGCACCAAGTTTCCCTGAGACCAAATTAGTGCACCACATGGCATCTTCTGGAACAAGAGATAGCCCATGTCATTGCATTGCCACACTCATCTCTTAGCATGATAAGCAAAGAGCACAGGAAGATTATGAAAGGTGACACCCTTCCCACTATCACCAAGGATCTGCAACTTTCTTTTCAGCAACAAGCTCCTGCCATTCAACAGTCAGTAGATGATAGAAGTAATACTGAAACAATTGACATTGACAGATAATGAGATAATGAGATTGACAGATAATGCCAACAGGAGGCAAAAACAGCAGCACCAACAAAACAACAAATGCTCTGGATTTATTCATGGCAAATGTTAACTTTCTTTGCCATGTAACAAACACAAAGCATCTTCCGATCTGTATCAGACATCAGTTTGATATCATACTGTGATTTTCAGGAAGCTGTGATGATAACATACTGTGATTTTCAGGAAGCTGTGATGCATAAAGGACGCTCCAGATACAACAGAAAGGCACTCTCACTCCTTGTCAGCTGTGTCTCAGATTGTGCTTTGAGGGATGCTGAGGAACATATTTGTAACACTGTATTAGAGGACATTTAATTCTTGCTTGAATATTCAGCCTGACAACTAGAGCTGACAATGAAAGAATTGGATTTGAGTGCACAATTTACCAGAAGACATAGTAAATATTTATTCTGATTTCTTCACCCACACAAGAGCAAACTTTATCTTTGATAGTCAGGGCAGATGCAAAAGAGTGAATTGCCTTAAACATACCTTTTTATAGCCATCAGCCAATTATGTAGGCTTGGACTATTATAACTTCCTACAAGTATTAACATATGCAGGTCTTGCTTCAGATTCAGATCATCTATACCTTACCAAAGTAAGGTAAAGTTAATTCTTTTCAAAGGCCCCTTTACATTCTGCATCCCTAACATTCACTCATCAAACTTTCTAATGCATGCTAAGTCAGAGAAAAAAGCCAACACCCAAATGTAATACATTGTTCTGGAAGTCAGTGCTGGCTGAGAACTCCTTATTGAAATGGCTTATTTTTACCAGATGAGTCTTTGTCTTACTGTCTCTTCTCAACTGTGCATGATAAGCAAGTGGGTGGGCACACAGCATCCTATCATCTCATTTAAATTAAAAATAGCAACCCATATGAAAAGAAAGGTCGTCATAAAACACAGCTTGGCCAGAAAAGCATTAGAGAACCATTTCTGAATTCCTAAGTGTGACAAGGAGCATGATTTCAATACAAGGGCTCATACCACTGCATCTATCATGCCATGCTGACTGACCACCATTAATTAGCTTAATGAGCAGCAGCAAGCAGTTCAGAAAGAATGTTAAAAAAATACTGTCTTTAGCATAGTAAAAGGCAACTGCTGGCACAATACGAACTTTTTTTCTGAGTGGCAACTTCACAGTTATTTTGCTACTTAAGACCGGTATACATGTACAATATTTAACAGCCTTCTGCTGGTGTGCTGCCCTTTCTGTGTCACGGTAGCAGTGGCTAGGAAAGAGGTAGGAACAGCAGAGCTAGACAAAAAACCTCCAGTCCTGTAACCACTCAGCAGCAGGAGTCTGAACAGCTTTTTAACAATGAAGCCTCTTTTGAGATCTTGGCAATGAAAAATTCTACATGAATCTTTGTATGTTACAGACACAAAAAGGTATATGTATTGATTGTATATGATTTTATTTTTTTAACTGCCATCAATATGATGCTTTTCCATTCCTGGAAAAGGAAGACTTCTATACTGAAGTCTCTAAGAACTCCCTAATATCAATGTCATTGTCTGGACGATTACAACCCATTGCCCATGGCTTGTACTGCTGTTTATTAATAGAGACAGCATTCCTTCATCTAAGGTTATACATCTTTTTCTTATCACCTCCTGGCTGGCCTACTTTTTTGTCCTCCAGAAGGCCTCTGGAGCTCTAGGTGCTGCCCAAGTTGCTTGAATTGTTCTTAATGTACTGAGAATGCATACATTTACTTCAGGAGTGCTAAATCAGCCTACTGGGATCAGGTTTCTACTACTCCATTAATTAAGATTGTGTAAAATTAAATCCTTTACAAAAATATAGCAAGAGTATGATTTCTTTCATATCTAAGCTTATTAGTTCCAAACAGTTTGTCAACTTGACACCATGTTTAGCAGTAACTTCATTAAGTACTTTTAACATCATGCATCACTTAGGACCTCATTTACCTCTGATCAATACAAGGGCCAAAGTCCTGGGTCCTCTACTTCAACCTTTAAAAAGATATTGGCATTCCACTTTTCTTTTACATCTCTTGGATTTCCAAACAGGTCCCACATTTAACGAAAGAACCATTCAATCTCCTGTTTTAAAACTCCTGTATATAAAATACCTTGGCCAGATGATTGTAAAATATTTAATTTTAGCATAGGTTCTTTCATATATTTCTGAGTTATTATTGGAGTAGGATGTGTTATCATTATAATCTAAATAAATCAGGCCACTCTTTTTTCAACTATGAACTAGAAATACCGTTAGGCATTTCCACTTTCTTATTCATAAAACAGGCAATGTGTCCACCTCCATCTAGTAACAACTAACTGGAATTAGATAATAGATATCAATACTATTAAAATAGATTATAAATAACAGAAAATATATGACACTAGATGAGGCTTCATTTCTTGCTTTAATGTTTATCTCACATTTAAACTAAGCAGCAATGTTTATATTGCTTGACTGCTAACTTTAAAACACTTACTCTTCTTACCCATAACTCCAGAGTCATCATTTCAGATATAACCATTACAGAAAAAGCAAGGAAGAAAAATTTCATTGGTAAATTCTCAAAATTCTACAGTAAAAATTGCTATACACACACATGCATACACACTTCTATCTCTGCTGCTACACTAACCAATTACTGCTCCAATCCTCCTCATGAAGAAGAGAAGGAGAACCAGCAGAGGAGAATATTGATATTTATGGTGGGGATTCTTTTGTCCTCACTTCAGAGTGTGTAGAGTGTTTGTTATTTTTTTATGTTAATTTGTGTTACACTTTGCTATTTTTTCATAGTCCATAATTCAAGATCTTTCTAAAATATACTATACCTACTGTGTTTTATATGTGTTGAGTACTTGGGTTTTATTCTGTTGTCCTTAATGGTTTTACCGAGCTCCCAAGATTGCATTACTTTAATGAGCTATAACTGACCATTGGTGATTTGTTTATAGCCTCTGGTATTTTCCTGTTCTTGTACCATCAAGGCCTCTGCTACCATCCTTTACTTGTATTCCAATTCACTACATTGTTATTCTAAGGTCACAGACAGTTCACTGTACACAGAAAAACTGCTTGGTATTGCTACCTGTAATTCGCAGGACATCAAAATTACTACACAACTACACAAGTGCATAATGCCAGCTAATGTTAAACAAGTTACATAACACTTACCTGCTTGTTAAACTACTGCTGGTTTAGCCAAAAAAGCTAAAAGAAAACTCTATGTAGGGCAGAAGAGTCCAGACAAACTAAACTTGGCAAGCCAGTTTAGTTTATTCTTTAGTCCAGAAGCTTTCCAAAGTACGTAAAAAGCCTGCAGTCTGTCACTAGTAATGGCAGCAGTGTATTTAATGGGCTCTTCAACTGCACCCCATCTCCATTTACTGAATCACATGTTGTGAATGAGTGCTTTAGATGGCTCAATCACCAGCAAATACATTGGCAAAAGCAGGTTTTTTTATTTAAGTGAAGGCATGAAAAGGTTCCTTGGAAAGGTTTGCTCTACTACTTACAAGATGGTTAAAGCACACAGAAAGATTCAACTAAAATCAATCAATCTAAACCTAAAATCAACCAAAAAAATATCTATGTGGAGAATGGGGATGGAAAAGGGTAAGGACAGAAAAAGGTAAAGATAAAAAAGATAAGGGAGACCATCTTACCATGTGACAAGGTTCAGAATGAAGCCCCTTGCCAAACCAAACCCTAGATTTCCCATTTAGGCCTAAAGGTTTTAACACTTAAACTTAATAGCCTAATTTAAACAGTTTAAAAAAAGATTAAATAGAATTTACAATAGGCACAACAGTAAGTCACCTATAGGGAAAATCTACCTATGAATCTAAAGTACTTCAGAATCTAGAAGAGAAACATTCATAGGACATTTACTATAGGATATTCACACTTGTATGCACACAGACCTAAATGAGGTACAAGGTATACCTATGAAAAATTGCCCTTTCATTCAATGAAGTCCTCACACCAGATGCCTTTGCATCCTCCCCATCAAGGAATGGGGCTATCAGCCCAGGCTCTCTGCTAGTGGTCTTTGGAGGTAGTCCTCCAAGTATAGCAAATTTGAAATTTCACTGGCTCTGAGAGGCCCCACTCAGAGGGAGTTTTCTGGTCACAGCTCACTGCAGACTAGGAGAGCTCAAAGAGTCTCACTTAGGATTGCTGTTTATAGGGTGACAAGAGACATGACTTTGGTCTTAGTAATTTTCCATCCTGGCTGCAATTCAGGTTGGTAACTTTCAAAGAAAGCTCAATAACAAAAGTACTGTTTCACTTGGGTTGTTATTCAGGCAAGAAAAATTAGTTTCCAAGGCTGTTTGTTAAAAAAAACCCAGGAGGTCGTTAGCATAAGTTCAGGGGAGCAGACAGTGTTTCTGATCAGCTCAAGAGGAGCTGAGTCCAGGTCCTGTTCATCAATGCTGAGACCTAACAAGCATTTCCAACCAGCCTGAATAAGTGGTGGGGAGGGGATGCACCACCACATCACAGAATCACAGGATTGGAAGGGACCACATCTGGTTCAGCCTAGAGCATTCCAGAGCATATAGCACAGGATTGTGTCCAGATGGTTCTTGACTATCTCCAGTGAGGAAGACTCCACAATCTCTCCGGGCAATCTATTCCAGTGCTGGGACACACAGTAAAGTTCTTCCTTCAAGTGGAGCTTCCTGATCACCACTTTTTGCCTATTGCCCCTTATCCCATTACTTGGCACCACCAAGAAGAGGCAGGCTCCATCCTCTTGGCACATGCCCTTCACATACTTGTAGACATTGATGAGGTCCCTTCCCTGTTGTTTTTTCTCAAGGCTGAACAGGCCCAGCTCGCTCAGCCTTTCCTTGTAAAAGGGATGTTCCAGTTCCCTCATCATCTTCATTACCCTCTGCTGGAGTCTCTTCTCCTACATTACCCTGCAGTCTCTATTTCTTTTGCATCTTCTCAGTGCTATCTCAGTTTTTAGCATCCTCATGCACCTAATTAGAAATATTCCACAGACCAGTTACAGGTGATTTTTACAAAACAAAGCCTAGGAAAAACCAACCCATTTGACTTTTAAAGGTCATACTCTAGTATGCTGCCAGGCAAGTAGAGGCATCTCAACTGCATTATCAAGATGCCAAGTGACCTCTGCCACCCACACAGTGGAAACTGTACTGCTCCTCAGTTCTGGTGAGAGAGCACATCATTGGAATGCACAATCAGTGATGAAATAACAGTGGTTGCTGTAGGTGGTAAGGAAAAAAAGATGTAAAAGGCAATTCAGTAAGGCTGAGCCTGTTGTGTATCTGGCCAATTCAGAGAATACAATTATGTCCTATATTGTGAGTTGATTGCTCCAGCCCTCTGCCACAAAGGTCAAACTACATCAGAGTGCAGAAGAAACAGCTCTCCACTGTACAGAACTGCAGATGGAATACACACAACAAAGAGGAGTGGCAGGGAAGGTTACTGATAGCAATCAGTGAGCAGTGCAGGCAGTGAGCACACTGAAAGACCCTTCACAACATTCATCCAGCATCCCCTATCTCTGCACTGCACAGACACAGGCCAGTAGCAGGGCTTAAGAAGAAAATACACTCTGAAAAGACTCTATCTGCCACCAAGAATAGCAAGAACACCTTTAAAAACTACCCAATTACAAGTCAACTTGAGGCCTATTGACTCATTTATCTGCAAGCCAACTCTGAAAACACAGAATTTTAATCACAGCCAGATACGTCTTGCTACCTCAGGGGAAGATGCCTGTCAGTGACACCTACTGCCTTTATTACTATATTGAAGAAGTTTAGTTGTTTCCCAGATACACACAGGTGCAGGAGCATTAGGGAGAGATTTCTATACTGAAATCTGCATTTACAGAGCAAACAATGCCCATCACTTTCCTTGCTCCCCTCAGACTCCCACAAGCACACGAGTGCACACCCAGCAAGGACTCTGCAATTGGCCATGAAGCAACATAGCCCACCCTGCCAGAAATGCTCGGAAAGCATATTCTGGGCCAACTTACCTTCACAGACAAGATGGAGAGATAAACCTCTGCCAACATTCAGCCACTCCAAAGATTCACATATGGTCACTCCATTGGCAAGAGGCTTTCAGTAGCAATCCAAAACTGAGGGCAAAGGAATCACAGCCAACTCCCATAGTCTCTCTTCTAGCCAGCCTTCCCAAGGGGGAAATACAGCATGGAAAGTAAAGGTGACTGTTGGACAGGCCTTTTAACACCTTAACATGCTTTTAGAGCCTGTACAAACATGGCATGATTTAGCCATTCTCTGTTCAAGTCTCAGTATCAAGAGTCACATGTTAGAGAGGGATACATTGGCATAGCAACCTTACAAAGATGAGCTACCCAACTAAAAGAGTTAACACTATTTCTAGGGGCATTGTAAATGAAGAAGGAAGAGGTGCTTCAAACTATTTTTTTCATTTTCTGCACCATGTTCAGACAGACAACTCAAGATATTTAACCTAGAGGGTGACCAGGCATTATTTTCAGTATCCCAGCAATATTATTTACTTACTTTGTGCACATTGCAGCAGAAATTACAGAAAGGAAAGGATGTTCAGGTAAAGAGTAGGCTGAGGCCACTGCAATAAAAACTGTAAAAAAAAGACATTATATTTGGACAATTGAAGATGTTGCTGTGAGTATGCAGACTCAGACAACACAGGATTCTTGGTTTTCTCTGCTTAAGGATTTCTTTTCAGATATTCCACAATGGGACACAGAAGCAGTTACAAGTGTCTGTCTGATGGGAAAATGATGGTTCTCTTGGCAGCCAGGAGAACGAATCAAATCTTAAAGCACATCAGTCCCAGCACTGTCAGCCAGGTAAGGCAGGGGTTTGTTCTGCTCTGATCTGCACTGGGGCAGCCTCACCTTGAATATTGTGCATAGTTTTAGGCACTGCAATATAAGAAAGACCCTAAGATATGAGAATGTCAACAGGAGGCCATGAGGACAGTGAAGGGCCTTGAGGGGAAGCTGTATGTGGAGGAGATGAGATCACTTGGTCTGTTTAGCCTGGAGGAGATTGAGGGGAGAATTCACTGCAGTTAAAATTTCCTCACAAGTGCAAGCAGGACAGACACTAATCTCTTCACTCTCATGACCAGTGACAGGACCCAAAAGTCCAATGGCCTCAGTTGTGTCAGGGGAGGTTTAGGTTGGATATTGAAAAAAGAAATTCTTCATCCAAAGGGTGGTTGGGCACTGGAACAGGCTCCCCAGGGGAGTTGTCAAAGCACCAGGCCTGACAGAGCTCAAGAAGCACTTGGACAACACTCTCAGGCACATGGTGTGGTCCTTGAGGTATCCTGCACAGAGCCAAGAGTTGAACTCAGTGATCTTTATGGGTCCTTTCTAATGCAGCATATTCTATGATTCTATGACCTCTCAAGAGCCTGGTGGGAAAGTATGGCCACATCATGTACTATGCAATACATATGCTAAATACAAAGCATAAGAATGATGCTTACTGAAGCAGCAGCACACATGTATCTACAACCAAATTATGTAAGTATAGATTGTCAGAGACAGTAAAATACTAGTTGATATAAATAGAAAATTAAAATATTAGTTCTAAATTAAAAGTAAAATTTGTTTATTAATAAAAGTGATAACAAAGAAAAGCAATGTGAAGGAAGGAAAAAGATAGCATAGAAAAATCATTATTTGTAAAAACATACTCATTGCAATCCCTGAAAAGATACAGAACTCAAGCCCTTCTGTCCCTGGAACGGTCTAGTGTGTTTCTAGATGTCTTGATGGAATTGAAATGAAAGCATAAATTTCCAATAAAAGCACTGGATATCAGTGAACAGAGACTTTGACTTACAGCAGAGCAGTCACCACGTTACTAGGTTTTCGTGAGATTTCACTATAACAGCAGCTACTCCTTTACACTGCAGACTAATGGCTGGTATTCTGATGATTCACAATGCTGCTGAGGTGATAATGAAGCATTTGCCAGCTAGAAAGTTACAAAAGCATGAACAATTAATACTAATAAGAGTTATTACATATGCATAGTTTGTTAGAGGGGGAAAAAAGGAAGAAGGAATAAAATTCTAGGATACTGCTGGACAAAGTGGTATAACTTCTGGAATGGGGGAAACTTATTCCAAGCCACATTGTTTTTTCACCACACCATCCTGTTTGTCAGCATCTGCCTTTAAGCATGACAGCTTAAAGAAACCACATTACCAGAAATGTGACTATCCTCCTTCTAATTTGATCATTGATACTGATAATTATCTTTTCTAGAGCAAGATAGTTATCTTTTCATGGTTCAAGTATCAGATCATTCACAACTCCCTAATAAATTGGAATGTGTAATTTTTTTTTTCCCTGTGATTTGCATCTTGACTGAAGTTAAAAATCCCCTTTTTATTACTTAAAAAAAAAAGTCTTCCAACATGCAGCACTGAACCACCAAATCTGTTGGAAATAAAGCTTCTTAAGATTCAGTTAGATCTGATGAGTAAGGCAATAGCCTCAGGTGTGTTTCAAACCACAAAGTGAAAAATAGAAGTTGAGAATGAAGAAATTCCACCTGGCAGATCTATACCTGTTACTAAACAAGTTATATTTCTTTAGGAAGGAGTCTACGCAGCACTGGGTGAAGATGGAAAATTCTTTTAACTTTAGCACCATAGTGTATGATCCCTGTATTCATGGTCAATGCTTAGTTTTGTACCATAAAGTGATTAGTACGAATACCAGAGATTAATGTGGTCTTGTGTTAACTCTCTGAATCTCTGACTAATAAGACTAATAAGTCTTATGCCAGCTAATGCCTCCTTATCTATTTATATTAGTGATTAATATGTATTAGCAGATATCTTAATTTTGAGAACAAGGATTGTATGTCAGAACAAAGAATAATAAGAGAAGTACATTATGCCCTGATCACATATTTGACATACTCTCAAGGAGGTAAGATTCATCAGAAGATCCAGAACCATATCCAGTAAGTCCACCAAAATAATTAGCATATATACATATACTCAGGAAATGTGATGAATATGTATTGTTTTGAGAAATATAAACTGGTCTATTAGGTTAGTAGGCATGCATGCTTTGAGGAGAATTCCCCATACATCCAGCACTGGTAATAAAGATTGATTTTCCAACGTAGAAAATTGTTTGAAGAGTTTATTTTCTGTTTTCCAACGACATGCATAGATACTGGCTCAAATGGAAACTTGGCCAAAGATTGAAACTTTTTTTTTTTTTGCCTTTATATTTCCTTCATTTATGAAGATTTGTATAACCATTGGCATGCCTGTGCCTTACATTCATATTAATTCCCCTGCTACTCCTTGTGTAGTACCTTCTTGTCACCAGCAAGGAGCTTCCATTCTTAAGAATTTTTCAGTCTGCTGTGGAAAGAAGAATGTTATACCAGGTTACAGCTTTTCTTTATACCCTCCATTTACCCAAACTACTTTGGTACACCTGAAGGGGCATCACACCTGAGAGAAACTGACAATACTGTTACCAGACTGACTTCAGCAGGGATTGTCTGCTTCTTTGAGTTGAGAAAGGGCTTAGGAAGCCTGAGTCCAGCTCCCAAACTGTCAGGTGTTATAGCAGATTGAAATAGCCAACAGGTGAATCCTGAACACTGTTAACTCAAAATTAATCTAAGATACTACCCTGCCACATCAATATTCTTTCTTCCTGTCTTTCTAAGGGATTTCTTCCCCTCTATAGAAATTATTCTTAGAAAGAGACAAACATACCATTCCTGCCTCTGTAAATGGACACTCTGAAAGAGCAATTTCCTGTGGGAAAAAAAAAAAATAAAAAAAGAGAATGGGGGAGAACCCTTAAAAGCATTAGACAAATCAAACTTCTTTTATAAGCCACATAGTTCAGTGACCAAATCACTCAATAGTTTGTGCCACTAATTGGAGTTCCTTCTATCTTGTCATATCATTCTCCATTTCCTTACTCTATTTCCTGATAATTAAAGCAACTCCCAAAGGCTCTGAACCTGGAAAAAAAAACAGTAATCCACACAGAAGGTGAGAGATCATGCATATTCTTCCCGGTAGTAAGACTACAACTGAGTCTTCTCCAGTACTCTGAGTTATGTAGGTTCACAATCTGAAAGTATGTAAACATCTTCCATCTAAGTAAAATCCAGGATGTTCATTCTTAAATCTTAAAATCCAGGATGTTCTTTCATAACCTTCTCATATGTGGTCTCAAGGAGTAGCCTACAATTCACACCTGATCCAGACTGCAAAACTGCTAACTCTCTCCTGTGCAGGAAGTAGCAAGTGCTTATGTAAATATGAACATAATCCTCAGGAAGCCTCAAGAATATTCATCCTTCTAAGTGATAAGTCTCCTGGATCCAGCCTGATAAGATCAATTTCTTGCTCCTGTTCTTACAAGCTTACAAAGTGACAGATTTCTCTATAGGTGGTCCAAACCCTCAGGGTAATAGAAAGTTACAAATGTCTGGCTGCCTTTGTACTTATATACAGAAGATCTTGCCCTTGAAAAGCTGGGGTATTTTTTTACCAATTACAGTTTTCAGATTATTGAATCTATCTAAATTTGTTATCTGCAATGTGAATTCATCCCTGGCAAGATTATCTACACTTAACTCCATGCCAGGATCACATTAAGCACACATACCTACATTAAAGCAAATGGATATCCTAAAAAAAAAAGTGTTTCCCTATTACTAGAGGCCTAGCACTCGTCATTAATTCATCTGACATATGTCACCAGAAAAAGAGGAAGGAGCACAACTTGAAAGTAGGAGCACAACTTGAAAGTAGGAGCAGACACAACTGTCATGCCTGGGAGGCTGATCTTTCTTATTTCTTACTGCTCAGATGCTCTCCTACTGTCTATGATAGAAAATTGAACCCTGCAGAGAAGACAAAAACATCCCTTTGGAAGCAGTTATTACAAGTTGATTATACCAGGTCTCCAGCATTATTAATACTTGCTGCCTGTGCTTGCCATTAGCTCCCATCAAGTTTTAATAATACTTTCTGAAACACAACTGAAAACATTTCTCACATCCAAATTAACACCCTATTATTTTCATTCTGGTGAGGGTGGAATGAATACATAAAGCTTTTTTTTTTTCTCTTTGCACTTTCAATTTTAGAACAAATAAATGTGGTTTTATAAGTCATGACTGAGGTTGTTATTTTTCAAGTTTTTGATATTTCCTAAAAATGCGCACATCTTTATTTTACAAGTGTTTTTCAGGAGTAATGACAAGTTGCTTACCTTAAATTCCTTTCAACCTAATCCTAAATCTAACCAGAGTTTGTCAGTGAATTAACTTCTTAACTTGCAATTAGGGAAGCTATTATGCAGTGGATTTAGGGAGAGTCCACAGCTGCTCCAAACCAACCTGGTTCAGGCCTCCAACATGGAATATTAAAAGTGTTTTTGTGCCAAACACCTGCCATTGATCATCACCAAAAATTTTTATAAAGTATCTTTCCATTTCATCCTCAGGTAGATTTATAAAAGCAAATGAGATAAGTATCTTTTGGAGAGGAAGAGTTCTATTTACATTAAGAGTACATGAAAAAATGAAGGTTACTCACTAAGCTCAGACTACAGACTTTTAGACTTCTGCTGTTCAAATAAATGAAGGCAGTCCAGAAGAGCACTGCTGCTATACAATGTATTTGTTATCTAGCTCATCAACCTGAAGTGCCCATGTGAAGATAAAATCCCAGAAGGCCAAATAAAACAGTTGTAAATAAAGTTGTTTTATTCCCATTAGGAACACAAGAAATAGGATTATTCATTGCAGTTGCATGGGTTATATTAGGTTATCTGAAATTATTTCTTGATTAAAAAAAAAAAAACAAAAAGCATTGCATGCTGTCTCACTGCTTCTTTGAAAAGTTATTAATTTAGAATCAGAGCACATCTGCATCTCAAAAACTACCAGGATTGCAATCAAAAGCAAGTTGGCAGAAACAGTTTTTTAAACAATCTGGTTCTTTCACAGTCCTATATGGTACACTTGCTTGTTCTTTTTTATGGTAGGAATCCTTCACTTGGCCCATTGTTCTAACAGTGCTTATAAAACCTCTCGCCTTCAGCTGGTCTGAACAAACACATGAACACATTCTTCCAGATGGAAAACTGACAAGAATTATATAAGCTCCAGTTTCAGTTCCTAGAAGTCAGTTGCACATACTAGGATTCATCAAAGTCTTGCCTGGGTAGCAGTAGAATGAAAGAAGTGAAGTACTTGAAGGGCAGAGAGAAAATAAGGAAAGTATTTACAAGTATTGGAAAAGCAACCCAAACTACTCTCCCATTAATGAGCAGTTTACCTGGTTGCACCCATATTCCAACTCTGTTATCCACTGTTTCTCACTAACTGCTGCCTTAAGCACTGGCAAGGAATTAAAGGCTTATACTCACACTTTAATAGCAAGGCTCGCTCCCGACATCCAGCCTCTGCCCAGTATGGTCAGCCCAGCCAGACTGGTGACACCCTGGCCTGACCAGTATCAGAGACACTGAGATGGCCAACACCCTGCCCTGGCTGACATGGGCAGCACAGACAGAATACCACGCACATTATTCTTCTAAGGTAGGAGTCTTTCACATCACAGTGCCACTAGAGAAGCCAAGGAGCAACAGGATTCCTACTCACCTGCAGAAGTCATTTGCACGACTGGCAGCTGTGGCCAGATGACTCCAACACCAAGTGTCCCTGGAAGTCCAAAGCCATGGCATTGCTAAGGATGCTGTGTTTGCTATTGGGGATTGGGTGAGTTTCCATATAGCTACACCACTGCTCATCTTTCCCACTGCCTCAATAAAACTCCAGTTTGTCAAGCTCCATTATAGTTCAATTCAAAAATGTACACAAAACCTAGTTCCTGAAAAGATGTATTAAAGCTCACAGAGATCACTGTATATGTAAAAGAGAAGATCATATTTTCCAGAAAAAAACACAAAAAAAACCTCAAAAAACCCACCTTGTTTATAAACCATTTGAATTCATCAGCCACATTGATATTATAGCACTGACATCTCAATGCTAATATCATCTGCTTGGATCACTGAAAGCAAAAGATTTCAAAATTTTTACTTTTTTTACTTAATACATATATGCTGCAGATCTTTGAAGAACAAGTCTTTGAAAACTTGTGGACCATTGAGGACAGCCCATGTCAGTTGTCCATCTCACCAGAAGCAATGGTTGCATCCTATTCAGTTTTTGGAATAGTGCATGGGAGCTGATGCACTATAAAAGGCACTTTGTAAAACAAAATACTCAGAGATTCTGTACTTTCAAGTTATCACCAATAACTGCAGTTCAGCAGCTGTGCTATATATTGCTTAGTTGCAGGTTCTTTTACTCCAGTGAAAGATGGAAAGAGTATCACATTTTTAGTTTGCAATACCATGAGTCACATTAACAGTGCGGCACACAACTAGTGCACATCTAGCTTTTTCTGCTGGGGCAGATTATGCACAAAATGGCCATGAAAGAAACAGGAAAACATTTATGTATGGCTTTATAAAATCGCAGCAACAGGGAAAAGCTAGACTTTCTTCTTGCAGGGATTAAAAAGAACTCAAGGAACAAAGAACAGTTTGTAACACTTCAGAAACAACTTGTTTTATCACCACTTATCCATCCATGTTGTGCTGTGGTACTTATTGTCATTATAGAGTAGTGCCCTCGTGGACAGATCACATGGCCAAAATGTCTTTCAGTATTCTTCCAAATTATATATGTTCTTCAGAATTATATATGTGCTTCTGATAGCTCGTTCTCCCTCTTGGAATAGTATGCTCAGCCTTCTTCTGGTCAGTTGAGGCAGGCAGCACAAAAACAGTCAGCCACCTTTTTCAAGCTGCGACTGAAGATAAGTCCTCGAGCCTAGATTTCAAACTTTTGTCTGCCTAAATAGTCAAGTACAGTATTCTATGACTCTTTCCATAGCCATTCCCTGCAGGTTTGGAAATACCAGACAATCCCCTGATCCTTCTTCACCTCACCTCCTTCCTCCACTCTTCTGAGAAACAAGAGTGCCTGTGGCTTATAATGCTAAAAAAGCCCAAGACATTCATTCTGCATGCCAGGACAACACCCAAAGACACAGTAACGGGAAAATCTCTTGGGAACCAGAATAAATTGCATTGGGCATGACTCTGCAGTTGAAAAAAGGAGTTAAGTGCCATCTGAAGCTCTCCAACAGTGTCCACATCAGCAGCACTTTTAAATCTATGAGATGCTAAGTTACCCAAAAATGTTCCATGTAAAGAGAATGAAAAGAGGCAGAAAGACAGAAAAGGGACAGAAAAACACACATACAATAGCCACCAAATCCTAGGTTCCCACGTGGATCCAGCAAGCAAGCAGGATGTAGACAAACGCCCACGTCACGGTCAGCCCCTTTTAAAGACTTGTGCTCCATGATCCTCCCCTCAGGTGGGACTTCTGGCTGCTCGGCCAATCAGAGGCTGGACTGGCACAACCAGTGTGTGAGTGATGGAAAGCTCTGCCAATCAGAGTCTGGGTTTGCACTGTTGCAGCGTGTGATTGGTTGGCAGCTCCGCCCAGCTGGGGTCTATGGGGCGGGACAGGGCATTGCCTCACCCACAGAAAGCCCGGCCTGCCCTCCCTTCCAGACACAGGCATGGCACTCTGAGGTAGGTTGAGGCACTGATCTAATCCAATGTCTGACAGTCGGTTCACGTAAGAAAATTTGCTCTTCCTGTTGGAAGAAAGCTGCATACTGAAGCCTGCGTGCAGTGCCCCTTCTGTAGTGTGGACAAAGGACGCTGCACTTCAGGGGTAGGGGACCAGCTTGCATCCTCCTAGCAATGACTCAGAAATACAACATTGGAATTACCTAGAGATCATATACCTCCCTCTCATAATGTATAAAAACCTTAAAAAGGTGATGAAAGGCGCTTTTTCCTAAGCTTTTCATGGAGACATCTTAGCAGATTTGGGGTTACATAACAAACATCCAAGACACTGATCTGTAGGCTTTTCCATCAATCTCACAGCTCAATTCTAAATTGATTTTTTTATCTGACCACCAGCAATTTTAAATAACCCACAGGCCAAGCAGATTACCTTGCATTGGACTGCTGTAGACTGCTTGCAGCATAAGGTGATCGGATTCACCTGGTTTAACCTGGATAACAAATATTCTCATTTTTCTGAAACACACCAGGGCAGAACCTGACAAGTTAGATAAACCACAATTGGTAGCAACCTCTACCTGGTTGGTCTCAGTGATGGAGGAAATTCAAGAGCTGGTCTGAGGCTAAAAGATTAGCAAAGCCATTAGAAAGCAATAAATAATGATGGCACTATCTGCTTGAAAGGAAATCATAATATGCAAATGCCTAACATCTATAGAAGCAAAAGTTCAAAGGTGGTCTGCTACACACCTGCTACACCTGTCGTATCAAGAAATTAAATTTATATATCACTAAATTATATAGTTCTCTTTAGCAGCCATTACCCTGTATATCCAAATGAGCTTATAAAGGTGTTTGGACCATCTGTACTGAAAAAGCATCTCATATTTAATCTTCAGCAGTAGACTCCAGTTTACTTCAAGTGATGTGCTAATGCTAAGAGTTCATATTGTTTAGAACACGAGCACTGTACTAGGATGTTCCTGTTCAAGAGAAGGAAATTGCCCTCCATCACCCTCCCTGCTAGGACAGGAGAGTTATTTACATAGTGAATTGCTGCTGCAGCTAGACAATTCCTATATTTATACTTTATCTTTGGCCAGCAAAGGAAAAAGAATATTCTGGTCCAGATAGCTTTCTCCTCTAAGAATAGATAAATGCACACATCATTGATATGAAGAGCCAAGTGCAGGTGAGAATACTCAAAAGTGCTGTCACAGGCATTTTTCCTGAAATAAAGAGGCTGAGAAAATTGCCTTTAGGAGACATTTGGTTATTCAAGCAGCTGAGATTAGTTTCAGTAAGAATTATGTTTTGCTCCTGTTTCATTAAAATTATTTCCCTTTTTCCCTGCTGCTAAAATTTGGACTGCTGGAAGAAAAAAGCTAAAAAGGAAAAGGCAGATATAAACACTTTATCTCAGCAGCTACATGTAAGATCTCCTCCTGAAAACAGCTTCCAGCTTTCTAAAAGCAGAGCAGTAGTTCACCTTCACCTCACCACTCACTGTCCAAGCTTTCTGAAAAGTCAGTCACCACTCAAAGAAATCCTCTCACCTCCCTTGCTCTCTTCCCTCACATATTTTACAATACTGCCTATCTTAACTGGAAGCAGCTTCTTTCAGCAGCACCTACTCTTCTTCATTAAGATTTTTTATGTTTACAATGATGATTTTGGGGTGTTCGGGTGGTGCCAATATGTGTTTTCATGAAAGTTCGTTTAACTGTAATTTTCTAATTATGCAGCTCGTTTTTGGCTGGCAATCATCTAAAGTGCTGCATGGCTTTTCCTCCTTCTCCAGAGCAAGATGGAGAAAATTCCAGCATTGCACTAGCTGCCAACTGCTGTGTTATATTTGCCCAGTTTTTTCACCCTTTCTATTTTTTCAGCTGTGTACCAGAATGTTCTCTCTGATGATCTGTTCCACACTCCTCTTTCTGCTCCTGTTTCTGTTCCTATTTTAACCTTGAAATGCAAACTTTGTCTGCCAATGTCACTTCTGTTTTTAAAAGGAGACCTGTCTTCCCCTAATACCCATGGTGGGTATGTTATCCTCCCTGCCACCCTCACCACTCCTCTGGAGCTCCTGTTCAAATGGCACATGTATTTCTTCCTGTATCCACACCATGTAACTTGTTTTGGACAAGTTCTCCATTCTTATCCACAGCTGCTACTGATGGACATATGGGTTCTCTAGTTTTATGTGTCTGTCCTTACAATCTGCCAAGACACACTGATGAAAAAGCATGTCATAAGTTCACATGCACACCTAAGGCATGGGTCTCTGTGTCAGACTGTCACTCCAGTACCTGGATGCTGATGGCATCTAAGTTGCTGTTCTCTTCTACTAACTCCAAGATCTCTCCCCACAAGCACAACTTTTCAAGCTTTTGGGTTTTTATTTGGTTTTTTGTTTGGTTGGTGTTTTTTTTTACTTTCCAAGCTTTTTTAGTTTTCAAATTGATTTCTTTTCTCAAAAGTATCTTGATAATTTCTTTGTTATAATTGAACCATAATAAAGGTCATCCAAAGAAAATTCAATCATTGTTACTTTCTTCTTAGCAGTACCATATTTTTGGGTAAACACCCCTTAGAAGAGTTTGGGGTATTCCATTCACTCAGTCCTATTCCTCTTGTATCAGCGGTTGTTACTCAGGCCATACTATCAAGAAGATGCCATACAGATTTCCACATACACTGTTTGCACTAGAAATCCTTTCCTCTCACTGTCCTACAGAGGTATATATTATTCCCAGCAAAGGTTATGCAGTTTCAGGTGTCATATGTGTAGTTTTTTAATGAGATTACATCCATAAATTATCCTTCAGAAGAGATGACAGCAATTATGAAAAAGGTATCTATATCTTCCTAAAATAGGGAATTTCTTATTCCAGACTTACAACAGTGCCAGTTCTTGCATGGCTTCTGACTCATCAAAGGCCATAAGAGAAGACAAAGCAATTGAATTAGAAAGCAAACATCACAATAGTGCCTGTGAAAACCAGCATGGATTTACAAGACAAGTAAATTTTTTTCCTAAAATGGCACTTCACTAACAATCATTTAATAGATTTTTTTTTTAAATCATGGTGAGAGTTATTACCACTGTTACCAAAATGCTGGAAATAGCATTTCAGATTCTGAGCTCCTCCTGTGCATTACATGTGCTACAAGTAGTTCTTGTAGGGTGGGAGGGCAATTGTTGCAGAAACTGTAGCCACAGTAACATCTTTCTCTAGCATCTTCACATTGGTAATGAAGAGCAAATCAGGCTCCAGTTATTCACAAATTGCTCAAAACATTGGCACTTACAAATGTCACAGCCTTCTCTGCCTGCAGAAAGACTATGAAAGGAATGCTCCATCATGCTGTGGCACAAGAAAAGTGCACGCCTGAATTGGAAATGCGATCTTTCACTGTCTAGGTATTACACAGGTTGCATTACCCAGTGAGAGAAGGGATTCGCCCTATCAGCCACATGCAGATAAGTACTACGACTCCATCAATTTTGTCCCCATTTGGAAAAAAAAAAAATACTGCTGTATTTTTCAGATCTAGACCATAGGGAAGACTACAGACGCTGATTTTTTTCAAACAGGCATGGTCCAGCATGTAATGACAACATATATACCCTCTCTGTCTTCTACATTTTTTGAAGAAAGTGGCTAGAGGTGTCATGATGTCACTGAGTTTATGTGGCAAGGTGCTGGACAGTGGGGGATGCAGAAGAATCACTGTGAGCAGAGGACAGGGCTATCCTGTGTGGGACACATCAAGTTCCAGATGGTTCCAACCAGTGCACCATAGGGTACAGCTGAGCCTCACAGCCACAAAGGCAGCACATCTGGAAGAATAAATTTAAGGAAGGGCAAAAACCACTGTGCAGTAGAATGGTAGGGAAAACATCTGAGAAACAGCCCTGCAGACACCAAGGTGAGAGAAGCAGGAAGGAATGATGCTCTGTGCACTGGAGCAGAGATCCCTCTGAAGTCCATGGAGAAGACCATGGGGAAGCAGGTTGCCACCCTGCAGCATACAGGTGATCACGTCAGAGCAGATATCCACACTGCAGCCATGGCAGACACCGTGCCAGAGCAGATGGGTGGGCTCTGAATGAACTGCAGACTGTAGAGGCCATGCAGGAGTGGGTTTATCCCGAAGGACTACAGCCCATGAAAAAAATCCATGCTGAAGCAAGGGAGACATGGAGGAACGGGGTGCAGAGATGAAGTGCTATTAACTGACTACAGTCCTTATTCCCCACCCTTCTGTACTGTTCAGTGTGTGAAAAGAAGAACATGGAGAAGCCAGGAAAGGAGTGCGATTGAGCCTGGGAAGAAGGAGATAAGAGGGAAGTGTTTTAATTTTTGTCTTTATCTCCATCCAACTCTAATGGACAATAAATTAATTTTCCTGAAGGTGAGTCTGTTTTGCCCTAGATGGTAATTGCTAAGTAATCCATCCCCCTGTCTGTATCTTGACTCTTGAGGTTTTCTATCTTATTTTCCCCCTTGTCCTGTTGAGGACTGGGAATGACAGTGGCTGGGTGGATGCCTGGCAGCTGGCCATAGTCAACAGTGCTTGACCATGGAAAAGTGAATGATGATGCAAAATGAAAGTTTCCAAAAGTGTCAGTTTCACACTGACAAAGGAAAAATCTTGCAACACGACACTATCTGGGTCATCGTGATTGAAGCCATAGTTCTCCCTACCCAGTTTCTTTCTGTTTAAAGCATTTCTTCTCTTTGGTACTTGGCAGCGCTGGAGGGCTGCATATATTTGAAAATATCCCATGGGATAGCTAGTTTTAATCCACTGATGCTTCAGTCTTTTTTTTTATTTTGGTTTTGTTTTTGTTTCTAGCCCTTTGTCCTACTCCTTTAAGAAAGCTTTCTCTTTGCTTCCTTCTCTTCACCTCCTGTGTGCCACACTCTGGCTTTCGCTGCCACCTCTTCATCCTGCCCCAAATGTGTTAGTGCCTCTTATGTTTCTGAACTCCTTTAGCAATGAAACATTTCTATCTATTTCCAAAATGTGTAAAAACTTCAACAGCTAACATTAATCCATGTCCCCTCTGCAAGAATGAAGAGCTAGTAACACTATACTACATTTAATTTGGTAAGCTGTTACTTTAAATCACAACAGCACCCCATCCTCAGTACCCTATTAAAATTATCATAGAAAAAAATCAAAACACTTTTTAATGCTTTGCAATTTTATCTCACTCACAATGATGCAACCACTGAAATTGGGGTGCTGTGAACATCAGACACAGTAGACAATTGGGTAGTTGCCAGCTCTTTATATTGTGCTAATCTCTTCCTGTGTGTTTTTTCATAGCTTTCTGTTTTAAATTTTACAGCACTGAGCTAGCTTTAGGCAAGCTAACAGAAATAGATAACTTTTGGTGCATGCCTTCTCCCCACCAAGAAAATTCAGAACTACCCTCTCATTACAAGGAAAGAAGAGAATGTGTAGATTTATTTAGGATGAAATATTAGTAATTACAATCTGTCATTGTCTCAGTGTATGTTTGGGTTGTTGTAGCCTTTGGGTGATACAGGGTAACACTACTTTTCCTGAACTGACAGTGATACCGACTTCACCTTGAGCACAAAAAATTGCCAGAACAGCTTTTATAGAGTTAGCTTTTGAATTGTTTCTTCTGCTTTAACATTGCAACGTTTTATATAAATTATTTTCAATTCACATAACAGCCTTTAAAATGTAATTCTTAAGTGTAATCCTAAACAGCATTTGCTATTATTTTTATGAGTGGCAACATTTGACTTCAGTAAAAGTGGTGCTTAAGAGCTGCCAGAGTAATTTCCTAGTTAATGTGTTATCTATTATAAAAGCCTCCCAGTTTCTGAAATTATGCCAAGAATTCTCATCTTAGGCCCTGAAGGACTGGGAATGTCTTGACCTGGGTCTAGGCTCTATTCAAACTCCGAGTCTACCAGTGTTTTGAGGGAGTGATACACACTGGAATGTGACTGCCAACACCTCACATGTCTGATCAACTGCTGAGGTGAGCCAGTGGGTATAACTATCATGACACATTTCAACAGGATTATTGCATTCAACAGGTTTATTGCATTTTCTCAAAGCTGAGCACACACACCTGTTTAAAGGTTCTTTGGTGAACCTGATGAAGCTGTCTCATGGCTGTCACCATGCCAGCTCCTCCTCCTCTAGTATCTGATCCTGTAAAAGCTTCAAACTGCATGGTGTTCTCACCAAAGACTTTGTTCACACCTCTTCTCAGACACTAATTCCTAAATGGCATCTTTGGAAACAGCCCCTTGGTATGAAATTTTTGGTACTGCCAAATGTATCACAAAAAAAACCCAAACAAAACTGAACCCTCTCCCTGCATAAGAAAAGTGTCCTCTAATATATATCTATTAAAAAGTGGAAAATAATTAGGATATGCATGGAAAACAAATGAAATATTTCATGACTAACAAAGGCAGATTCATGGGTATTGACTTGGCTGTAAAAGTCTTTAAGAAAAATCTTATTCCAGAAACACTATTTGTAACCAAGGTAAAGGAAAATATATAACTCTGCAGGAAGGACTCTCCTCATTCAAAAAAAAATCAAGAAGAAAAATTCTTAAAGTATTTGTTCATGGAAAAAATATGCCTTATTCCAAGAGTTTATGTCAGATTACAACTGAGTTATCTTGTCCTTTATAAAAGAGGTATTTTAATAGTTGAAACTGAATCTTCACAATCATAAAAAAATTTACCAACAAAGGGACTGTGGAGGCCATCCAATCAAACCTCCTACTCAGCAGGGCTAACTTCAGGGTTAGGTCATGTTGCTCAGAGCCTTGTCCACTCAAGTTTTGAAAACATCTAGAGATGGCGATGTCACATTGATAGCTTTCAACTGAAATAAAAAAAAGTCATATGAGAGAACAGTTCCATTTTTAAAATCCTTAATTATACTCATAATTTCTCTAGACAAGTGATTTTCCAGTATTTAGAAATACATGTTGAAGATAGGTGACTAAACAAGGTACAACCAATTTTTTACTTTCAAATACATAGAAAACTATGTAAAACTGAAAACCCCCAGCTTCCTGACTGGGTAGGAGCATCAGTTGGACATGCTGCTTACACATCTGGAAAAGGTGCATTAAGTGTTTACTTAGCAAATGCTCTACACTGGAATCCCCCTCCTTAGGTTTATCCCCAAACAGATCTTAAAGAAAGCTGTTGGAGAGGAAAAGTAAAATCAGAGAGCTGAATAGGTCTTGTACACAGTTCCCATAAAGTGAATTTCCTGCAAAGCTTTCGGTAGTCCTGCCCCCTTCAGCTACAATAGTCAAACCTCTTATTAGTACAGCCTGAATTAGTAGTTCTTCTTTCCAGCAAACATTTGTGAGAAAAAACAGCTTTCTGTAATTAACACTTTTCTCTCAAACTTTCTTGTTAGCAGAGAACCAACCCCAAGTGCACCAACTTTCATGTACACACACATTTTTAAAAGAATCAATACAGTAAGTCAATAGTTCTTATTTTCTGACACTGCAATTCAAGTTCCCATGCCTAAAATTTTTCTTTGATATAGAGTTTTCCTTTAATATTACCGATCAGATATTATTTCATTTTCATTGTCATACAGGTAGCAAATAACTCTATCTGGTTTTAAAAATTTTAATTACTAAAATTGTTTCAGCCTTGCATCTCCCATTAATCATTACGCTGCAAATCCACTAATTACAAGACACAAGTCATCACTAAGATTGCTTACAGTTGATGTCAATACAATGGAACTGCAGTCTATCTTACTATTTTTCCAATATACTACGAGTTTTCTTTGTACACCACTGCCAAACTATTCACAGTTTCCCAAGAAAATGTGAAGACTTGAAAACCCCATTGTTTTTTTGTTACCTGGTTATTCAATCAGTAACATTCAGGTATGTTCCACAAAATGTTTTTTTATTTATCTATTTTTTCCACAGAAGCATTCATTAAAAGTCCTGAAGAAATCCATTTTTTAATGTCTATAACCAGGTACTTTCTTCATACCTTTGGTGCTTGCGACTAACACAGATTTTCACTGTTCATAACAGAAGGCTCTTCAAACCAAGAGTCATTAACAGCAGTCTCTTTTCCAGGAGAACAACACTAGGAAATCAAAAACACTTCTACAATTTACAAAACATTTAGCTATCACATCAAAAATAACCCAAAAATAACTTTATATAATAGAAGTTTCAGGTCATATTTTTCAGGTGTACTCAAGTTCTAGAATTTTTATTTTTCCATGACTGCATATTACCTGCATTCGGGCGCATACTCAGACTGAACTTTTCTTCCTACCAGAACATTCACCGAACAGGGAAATGGGCATACAGGAAGGTCAGGCTGCACTTCAGCACTAATCCCACTAACAACATATACAAGAATTCAACAAGACTGGTTTCATACAGGATTTTCCATAATCTTCAAATGCATCTCAATAAACCAGAGAGGCACATGTCCGCCACAGAGTAAATCCTAACTCTTATTCCACTGTGCACAGCATGCTAACCCATTCTCTAAACTCTCCTTCTCCAAAAGACATGAATTACTCTGTTCATTTTTAGGGCAGTTTCTCCCTACACCATCATAATGAGTGTTTAGAGAATACAAGGAACTTGGTTTCTTGTGAATGCAGGCCAACAACACATCTCTGAAATAATCTGCTTTCAGCTAACAGATGGTGATGGCCAAAACCTGGTTTAGCCAAAGACTTGGGCATTATATATTCAAAATCAGGAAACTAAAGGAGGATTAACTGCTTACCTAAAAATACAACCATTCTTCTTGGGTCTTCCCTCCTTTGTGAAACTAAATTTTATGCCAGGATTCTACTGTCCATCACACCATCACATGAAGATTCTCTGTGCAGCTAGTTGAGGTTCCAGAGCCAGCCTCAACAAAGAAACCAAAAGCCACTGGGGTCTACATTTGAAGTTGCACCAGGGAGCATGGCAGAATCCACAAGCAATTAGAACTTTGATCAGAACTTCTGTGTCCCCATAAATCTCAAATTATTCCTAGGTTAATAAATGTGCTTAGAAGGCAGCAGTGATCAAATACACTACAAATTCTGAAATTCTGCTTAGTAAAAGCATGTCATGGGACACTAATAGATAAGCACAATGAGTGATTAGCTTTTTTACATATGGCATGGCTAGAAAGCTCAGAGTCACTTGGCTACTGCCCTCCTATTCACCAGCCCTCCCATGTTCCAAATACAGACTTCCTTTTCCTACTGGTAGCAGGAACAGCTGTAGGACACAGCACAAATGAACCAAAGCAGATGCTGTTTATCTGCACAGCAGATTGTGCATAGAGCAGACACACTTGCAGTAGGTATTGGCTCATAGCAGACTCTCAGAAAAACAGAACAGTTTTCAGTGTTTCCACAGAGATGCCCAACACAGTTTTTAAGTCTTAGTGGTGAAATTTTTTTTGCTTTCCTAACTTTAAAGGTAAAAGACCCTCCCTGTGGTTTTCCCTAACAGGTAAGGTCCTACAGAAGTATGCAGCACTTTTGTACCCACAAAAAATATTTAGCAGTCGGGGCTAAAAGAGAAATTACGAATGCCTGCAGGAAGCATAGGCACTGTTCCATACACTTAAGAGGTGTGCTCGGCTTTCCATTATGATGACGATCTGTAGAACAAAACTTCCTTCATCTGAATGTTTTGTGAATACTCTCCAGTGCTCCTGAAACAGCGATGTCCTGAGGAAAAGCAAAGTCAGAGCGCCACCTGCCGCTGCTGTTTAACAGGAAAACAGCGCTGGATGCCAGTTTCTCCTTCTCATCTTCCACTGCACACTGAAGTACCCTTGGACTAACAGCCAGCTGAGCGATATCGGGTTTACTGCACGTCTATTTGGACACCAACGCTCTTTAAACCCATTTCCAGTGTTCACTGGGAATTGGTTAATGTTTTTCACTGAGCTTTTAGCAACTACAGTTCAAATCTTAATCACAGCGAATTTCTTCCAGCTCTCAATATTCCAAAGCAAAGAGCTGCAAGATGCAGAGAGTTTATTCGGCAAGTATGGCTATCTGATTGTCCTTTTCATTTATGCTTCCCTAGAAATCTGCTACTGGAAACTGAAAAACACAAATGTCGTGTCAGTTAGTCCATAAAAGTCTACTTACTATCCATAAAAGGAAGGTTTTCCTGTAACAACCTTAGCCTTGTAACAGTACTAGAAGTAAGCCTTTAAAAATGATCTTGTATCTGAAAAAAACCCCAAACAAACCAGCAGATTAGTAGTTAACAGATACAAAAACTACTACTTGTATTTTTCATTTATATGTTGAACAGATCAAATAAAATAAACTATCAAACACACAGACAAGTATTTCATTCCCTCAATTTAAACAGAAACACATTAAATGAAATAGCTCTCTGAATGTTTCCATGATAAGAAAGTCTCACAGACACTTTCAACCTTCTCCCTTAGGCCTTCTTCCTCAGACCACCTCTAAAAGTCTTTTTTTCCTCCAGTGAGGATGAACTTCTGAGTTAATTAACTAAAGATAACATACTCAATTTGAACAGTTAAGGTGAATCTACATTAACAGTTTACTGAGCAGCATCAGTTCCTAGGTACGAATGTGCTGAGTATCTGTGCCTTGAGTTACAAGGAGCACACTCTGGGCACACAGCCTGTGCACACACTGTGGTTTCTCTCCTGAACTAAGCAGAAAGCTTCACACTGAGGTGCAATCCAGAGTACCAGGGTTACTGGGGACACAAAGTACAGCCTTTAAAGCAAGAATTCAGCAACTCTGAAGTCCTCCTGCTATTTTCAAGCAAGAGATCTGAAAATATTTGTATGCCTTGTCCTTCCTCTATAGTTGAAGGAAATCCAAAATGATCAAGTAATCGGAGACCAGTCACAAGCTTATGGACCTTCCAAAAAAAAATAAATAAATAAAGTATACATGGCCCTTCTACTTCCACAGAGGACGACTCTAAGACAGTATTTAACCCATCAATGTAAGTGCTCTTATACCACCATTATATCTTTATATCTTCAGTTCAGGAGAATAGAAGCAGGGCAGCTACTGGAGGGTTACCACCCTGATTCTGACGAGTTCAGTCACTGAAAGGACAAAAAATTCCATTGTAAGGTTAAATTATCTGATAGAAATCTGTGAAGGTCACAAGGCCATCCCTGCAGAGTCCCACCCTACCAAATCAATGTTGCATGAAGTTAAAATTAAAATGAAGGCAACATTTGAAAAACAGAGGTAAAATCTAAGTCTGCTAAACCCAGGAAAATCCATCTCTGATACAGGAAACTGGAGAATTTTGTCTGGGAGAAGAAAAACAAACTACTCAACACGAAGTCTCTGAAGCTTGGAAGAGACCAGAGGACTCTTGCGAGATATTCAAAGGTGTTGGAAAAGGGAGATTAACCACTCTCCCCAGTGAGAACATTCCAATGCCCTGAAGTCTCCACATGGGCATTTTTGAAATTGAAGAGATTTGATAATGCTAAAACCCTGACTTTGACTCAATATTGTACTGGTGAGAGATAGTTAAATGCTGTGGTTCATGACATCTGAAAGATTGCCTATGTATTGCTAGTGGTGAAAGCCTAGACTTAATCTTCAAGGAAAAGATCTCTGCCTGCATCTTTCTCCTAGCAACAGCTAATGACACAGTGAAACCATGCAGCAGTTTGACTCTGTCGGGGATAAGAGATAAAGAGCAAGGAAGGCAGAGCAGCTACTTCCATATGATTATACATTGATTTACTTTCATTTGGACAACAGAGAAACAGTTTCTCTCCCTGTCCCTCTGTAAATACATCTTACCTGTACTCATGTAAATGCTTCATCTGACAACATATTAGGAGAGCCAGTTTTGAAACCATAGACACTGCTGTTAAGCAAGGTAAATTTTATTGCATTCAGACAAAACAGCAGTAACAGGGAAAGGATGCTACAATGTACACTGCAACAGGGTGAATGTTGCCAGTCCTCATACTGCTCTGTGTGGGGTCAAGCACACAGAGAAGCAAAGCAAGGTCCTTTAATTGAAAATGCAGGCTCTAGAATAGATTTTTAGTGGTGCCCCACGTGTTAGCGCATTTTGTCATTCTCTTTGCTGTGTTTTTTCTTTCTCCTTTTGTATTTTCCAGTATGCCACCAAAAGGTACTGCAGAGGATAATTTTTTTATTTTTTTTTTTTAAATAAGTGGCTACTACCTTTCTGGCAGTACTGCTTATGGTTCAAGCAGGGAATGGAAAGACTGGGCACAGAACATAAAAATGGGAGGATGGAACTGGAGGAGGGGACTGCCAGTTGTAGTTCCTTCCTTTTCCAGGAAGGAAATACAGGATATAGTTACTGGACAGATACATATTTCTTGCTGAATTCCATTACTTCAACAGAATATGGGCTTTTCTAATATAAATCCGACAACTCTCAATTTGAATCTGGTTACCTTTTGCAGTGTACAGGTCTTCAACATGCCCTATGTACAACCCTCCCATGACAGAGTTTCTCAGCCAATGGCAATTTTAAAAACAGATACAGTTTTTTATGTGTTTCACTGTCCAGATAATACACAATCCTGGAACTATAAACATTAGGCCTGCAACTAAAAATTCAGAAGTTAGGTCTGTAATTCTTCTGTCTGCATCTCTAAAAATTAGTCTTCGCCCAAAATATTCTATGCGGTCTTCTTTTTGCATTCATCATTGACCTGGAATTTGTGCAACTTGACTTTTCTAACAGGCTTTTCAGATATGCTGTCTGTTAGCTTCCTAAATGTTTTTGCTGATTTATCTCTCATACATTTCCTTTTTCAGTGCCTCAAAGCTTCCATCCACAGGTTAATTCCTTGTACAAGGATGACATCACAGCTCTTAGGGGAGCTGCAAATCTCTGTCCCTACCACAGAAACCTACAAAACACAGAAATACTCATAACTCAAAATGTCTGATGATTCAGAAATTCTGAATCTCTGACACAGAGGTGTCATATAAAATCCATATACAAAATGGTATCTAAAACCTCTCTGTCATAATCTCCCAACAGTGGACTTGTCAGCACTGGTGTGCTATTATGGGAGACAATCTTGAATTAAAATACATGTATCACACATTGAAGAGTGGTCTGTGAACAATTCAAAAGATCATTATCACAGCAACACCCCCACCCAGTCAGGAATACAGCTAGACATTTCCCACCAATTATGAGGGAATGACACTGTGGAACAAACCAATGAATCTGTAAAACCTCAAACTGCAAAAAAGCTGGGGGAGCATTAACTGACTGCTTCTCAACTCTTCTGATGCAAGATTTTGCAGTGGAGCTCCCACACCTGTGCCAGAAAATTTCCACATGTGAATATTCTCAGGTCATATGCTTTAAGCTTACAGATATTAAAGAGCTGGAAGGAGCTGTAACAATATTTTCACATGTTAAATGTACAAATGTTTACACCTTTGCAATTATTGTTTTATTTTAAAGTATATAATTATTATAATATACAATTCCTATATCCAAAAAATTAAACTTTAACTGAAGTGCTCAGATGGTCTGAGCCATTTGGACAAATTATACCAAGAGAATTATGGACTGCTGAAGAGATGGAATACACAAAACACCAAAAAGCCATGGATAGCTCCAGGATCAATAGATGGAAGTGCTGGGGCTCTTGGCTGTCTCTTGCCAAATTACTGCCATTTTTCCATTCTTCATTCTTCATTCATTAGAGAATGATGATAAGCAAGAAGCAGCAGGAGTCTCAAAGTACAAGATTTGTATCAAGTGTTCAGTCTCAGAGACAAAAAGGCTGAGATCTCTCAGAACAATGGCATGTTAAAAGAAATGTCTCTTCTGCTGATCCTGCTCCTGCTGCTCCCTGCTCCATTCAGCTTGTACTTCCCCTACATGTTAAGAATGACAGGCAGGAGAGGCTGGGATGTGCCTTAAGAGCATGCCCTGAAGAAGAAAATGCAGTGCTGTCATGAAGTTCTGCAATCAGATCTGACACAATAATGAAAATCATGAAAGTTGCCCTGCACATCCCAGATACTTCTATTTCTTCTCACCCTTTTATTATAATACCTGTATTGCAATTTAAATGCACTGCATTGTGTTGGGTGCAATGCAGTCACACATCAAAGAAATGCAGAGGTGCTTAATTTCCATACCATCCCATGGACTGACAAGAGGTGGTGTTTCTGAAATGAAAAGCAATCGATGCAGCAGTTCTGTGAGAGGAACACTTCAGAAGGAGTCAAAGAGACAAAAAAGTATGTAATTAAGAACAGGATTTGAGACTGTCACGACTGATTTTTGCTTGCAATTACACTTGGCCTCTTCTATTCTTACTGGACAAAGATTCCAACAGAAATAAAATCTGGTTGCTGTGCCAGAATACAGAAAGGCTTTGAAAGGATTCTGAGATCTTTGTTAGGATTAGTGGAATAATTTAACAGGAGGTCATGTTAGTAGGTAGAGAACAAAAAGACATTTGCATTTCAGACTGTGTGCACTGTCTGAGAATAGCAGAGGAAGAAAAATAAGGATGAAGATGCCTGAAGCTACTTTGCAATGAGGAAATAAAAGCCCTGACAGAAAGTGGATGAAAGAGAGGAAGTTAAGGTAATAAGATTCTGAAAAAATACACACAAAAACATTTCTTTCACTTTCAGGCTAAAGTAGTATTGTTGAGTGAACACTACTAAAAAGTTGGTTTTTCTCATTTTAGGTTATGGAATCTTTGAATCAGAATAATTCAGGTTACAAGAGACCTTAAAAAGTCATTTCAACCTCCTGCTCAAAGCTAGATTCACTATGAGGCCAGACCAAGTTGCTCAAGGTTTTATCCAAGGAGGTCCTGAAAATCTCCAAAAAAGAAGCATCCCACCTCTTTGGATACCTTGTCCACTGCTTGACTGCGCTCATGAGGAAAAATCTTTTCTTTTTATCTAGCCCAAACTTCTGGCTTCACTTTAGGTGCACTGCCCCTCATTCTCACACCACACTACCAGGAAATCCTGGCTCCATTTTTCTTACAAGCTCCTCATAATCATTGTCAGGCTGCTACTAGATTTCCCCTGGAGACACCTCTTGCCAGGCCAAACAAGCCAAGCTCCCTCAGCTCCTGCCCCAAGACAAATTCCTCATCTCCCTGAGTATTTTGACAGCTCACTGCTGAATTTTCACCATTTAGCTCTATTGTCCTTATATTTGAAGTATGCAAAGGTAGATGCGGATGTGTTCTGATGAATGCTGAGTCCCTTAATCTCCTGGGTGGGCTGTTAATACAGTCCAGGAAACTGCTGACAGTATTTGCTGCGAGGTCACACTGCTGGTTTATGTTCAGCTTTTTGCACCCTGCAGGCTTCCCAGGCTGTGCTCAGCAGTGCTGCTTCCCAGCCAGCTGGTACCAGTCCACATCCCTGGGAAATCAAAAGTATAGAGCAATGTAGGTCAGACCTCTGGAGGTCATCCAGTCAAACTCATTCTCAGAAGCAGAGGTAACCTTAAGCTTAGATGAAGTGGCATCCATTATCTAAACCTGAAACTCACAAATTACATACATAAAACAATCCAGACAGCTTTAAATTCTATTTCTAATGAAGTCCTTACAACACTATCATTACTATTCTTATTTTCCAAGCATGTCATGACCAATAAGAGCTGGTACTATAAAAAGATAAAGAGACAACAGCTGCAAAAAATAATCAAAGTACTCAAAAATAATTATTTAATAATTGCAAGGACAGGGAAAGTGAAGGATTTTAGTGAAACATGTATTAGAATGAGTACCAGACTCAGACTCACTTCTGTTGCATTGGGAAGTAAATGCAAATTTAAGACTGCTTTTGAACACAAGCATAAATATAATCTTCAGAGCATAAAAATGATGGCCTGGAAGTGACCACAGCAACAATAATCATCCAGACTCCTCTCCCAGGCTCAGCCTGTTTTATAATGAAGCCACTCATGCCTCCCAAAGCTCTGGGAAGTCTACCCAAGTCAGTATTAACACATGACTCCACAGGAGCAGACTGCGAGAGAGGCAGGAAATGCAGAGATGAGCAGTCCTTGTCCCCAGAGCAGAACTCCACAGTGGAATGTTGCAAAGCACAGAAATTGGGTTCTCGGTACCTTGTCACTAACCCCCACATGTGGCCACCTTCTATCTTTGCCTTGACTGAGGAGGTGAGCGGCTGCCCCATTCACTCACTCACACACCTTCTTACACCTTGTCTTGTAGAATCAGAGTTGCATTTCCCTCAGCAGGAAATATAACAGGCACTTTCAATTGGTTTCTACTACTATAAAATATGATCTGCTAGCAAACATGTGTGTAAGGGCTATGACTAGGAACATAATTTAGCATTTGAATTTGAGATTCCCTATCATACATAGGCTTTTACCAGCCAGATTGTTTTTTCAGCCATATAAACTTAAGATAAACGTCTGATTTTAGATACTTTCCTGTGTAAAGTAAAAAAAAGTTTTTTTGTTCTTAAAAGAAAAAAAAAATCATTTTACAAATCAGGGTTTTTCTTATCTTTCACTGAAACTGCCTGGCTAATACTATAGTGCAGAAGGAAATTACACAAGAATCTGAATCTTGCAACAGAAAACTAAGAGTGAGTTTTAGAAATTATGTTTCTAATAATATTTATTTACTTAAAATTTAAGTTACTTATAATAAGAAGAACAGAAATATTTCCATATTATTATTATTGGTGTTGTACACTTATGGTTAGTAGAGTATTATAAAAACTAGGATCTAATTGTAGCATACTGGTTCTGTAAAGGAGCTATATACAACAAATACACAAGTTTTTCCCTGTAAAAGAGTAAGGTATCTGTTCACTGCCTTTTAAGTGTCTTCTGTTCACATTTTGTTCTCCACTAAAAATAAACTAAAGAGAACATATACCACACAAAAGATCTGGCAATACTTATGTATCTGCTACCATCTGCTGACAAATAGCATTATTGACTTTATCTTAGTCAATCTTAAAGAAACAACTCATATTTCCCTATAGGAAGGTTTCCACTGATGCTACAGTGGCTGACAGTAAAAGCTACATGAATTTTTGGTTCAGCATGTTGCAGTAAGCCAATAATTTCTTATCCACCCATCTTGTATGCATAACAGATTTACCACTCACCCGCATATTCCACTCATATAGCAGTGACTGCATACTGCATTCATTGAAGCCCTTCAGCTATTGCATAGTTCCTGAAGTCAATTACTGAGCAATTGTCGCAGCCCATGTTTATTTTAATAGTTTTATTGTTAATAGCTCATTCCTATGTTCCCCCCCACAGTTGATTTGCCCTTAAGTTGTATTCTCCCCTATGCTGCCCATCACTGTAACCCAACCCTTTGTTCCAGTGCCTTCCCTGTCCATCATTGGAACCCTGCCCCTCGTTCTGGACCCTTCCCTGTCAATCCCCTGTTAGCCCAGCCCCTGCAATACCTTCTCTTTGGAAACCCCCTATTCCTCGAGGCCCCCATTGGCCCAAGTGACCTTTCCAGTCCTCCCCCTTATCCTCACTGGTTCCCATATTGTAAACCCCGCCTCATGCTCCTCCCCTATATGTTATTGATTGGTTAAAATTTGTACCCACCCCCTGAAACTCCCCTGTATTTAACCCTGTGCACAGCAGTATTCAGGGCTCTTCTCACTCTGCCCCCTTCAGCCTCAAAAACTCTTCCCTTTGGGAAGCTCCTACGAAGAGCCTCCTCCGTAATCCTTCACTCAATCCCTGACATCGGTTAGTGATCCCGCACTGTAGAGCAAGAGGCTCTAGAGGTTCTGCCTGTGGTATATCCCACACCAAGGCAGTTCCCACACCTGGCATAGTGCCAGTGTGTCCTTTGAGCTAGCTTGTGCTCTGGTGAGCTGCATCAAGCAATTACATGAAACTCATTCCTCATTTACAAAATAAAAAATATTTAATTTATTGCTAGCTGTAAAACTTTGTAAACAAGTCACAGAATGGGTCAGGTTGGAACAGACCACAGTAGGTTACTTGGTCCAACCACCCCACTCAAGGTGTGTCATCCTACAGTACACAGCACATTGCACAGGATTGTGTCCAGCTGGTTCTTGAATATTCCCCAGGCATGGGGACTCCACAGCCTCTCTGGGCAATCTGTTCTGGTGCTTGGCTACCCACGCAGTAAAGTTCTTCTGCATGTTAAGGTGGAACTTATGTGCATCAGTTTCTACCCATTGCCTCTTCTACTGATGGGCACCACTGAGCAGATCCTGGCATCTGCCTTCAGATACCAACAGACATTGATGAGGTCCCCTCTCAGTCACCTCTTCTGGAGACTGAACTGGCCCAGCTCCCTCAGCCTTTCCACATAAGAGAGATATTCCAGTCCCTCAATCATTTTTGTAGCACTCCTTCGGATCAGCTCCAGGTGTTCCATATCTCTCCTGTCCTAAGGTTCCAGTCTTGTTTTCCAATCTACAGTGTGGGATAAAAATACCTTTTCTCCCCTAATCTGA